CCCGTATGTCACTCAAAACACTATCATCACATTTTAAATCAACTCAAAACAATCATTTTAAATCAAATACAAATTTTGTTTTCTGTGTGGAGTCATCCACGCGGTGTGTGCATCTCGTAAAAACGCGCTTCTCTTATCATTCCCATCCCAAACGGATTTGCGAGAGAAGCGAAGGGGGGAAAAAGGTAGAAACACAGAAGGAACGCGCGAGCGTCACCCGCGATTGGCGAGAAGATTCTTGGTCCGCGATTATCTCGGTGCGCGCCGGCACTGCCGTCGTCCCCGTCGTCTTTCGTCGCGAATGATCCGCGAAGAATTATCGGAATCGCGCGCTTGGCAAAGATCGTTCAGTCGCGATCCGACTACCGAGCTGTGAGCTTCGCGTTCTCTCCGCGCAACTTGGTCCGTCTCGGCCCCCACCTTCATTGTCACAACTATCCCCTCCGTCCCCCTTCTCTCTCTCTTTCTGTCTCTGTTGCACCTCATCTTCGCGCACAGGCTCGCGTAATCGCTTCCAGCGTGCTAAATTTAGCGCTGACCGTTGCTTTTGCCGAGCCAGCGGCGTATATAAAGCTCCTCTTCGCCTCCGCCGCCGTTTCCTGCACGCGCGCGCTGAGGTCGCGTCGAGACGCGGAAAAAGCCGTCGCCGTCGTCGTCCTCGGGGCACATCCGTCGCGACGTTCCACCTGTGAAGGTTCACCGCGCGTGTCTCCGTGCGGCCACGCGGGGTCTGTCGCTTCCTCTGTGCGGAGAGCACCGATAAGAAAGAAAGAGAGAGAGAGAGAGAGAGAGAGAGAGAGAGAGACAGAGAGACTTGTCGAAGCAGCCGCGTGCGTCGTGATCAAGGGATCTGTCACACGGAATCAAGGATTCGGGCGCGATGCGGAGAGCAGCTTGTGACTTCTGGAGCGATAACACGCGAGTCGCGCCGAGCAGAGTTTATCAACGCTCGCCCTCTCTCGTCCCGGGGATTTATCCGGAGCGGGAAAAGTGTAATTAATGGAGAACGCTCTCGGCGGCGGTGTGTCGAGAAAACTTCTCCCGTACGTGTGACTCGCGCGACGTAATTGCGATCACGTAGCACTGCGCATAACGCAGAGAGTGTGCACTTGGACCTGCCGCGACAAAAAAACATCAGGCGACTGCAGACAACGACGCATTTCTACCGGCACGTGTGCTCCTTCTCCTGCCTGAGGAGCAGGAACACCTTGATCCCCTGGCCTCGAGATCGAACGAGTATTTGCCGAGTTGCGACCTGCAAAACAGAGGAGCGCGAAATTCGGGAAAAACGCGACGCGGAGAGACGCAGCACCAGCAGCAGCCGCGCGAGGCTTTCCGAGGCTCGTGCAATCGAGTGAGCGATAAGCGGTCGGCTGTCGTGTGCGTGTGTGTGCGTACGTGCTATGTCGCCGTAATAAACGCTAAAAATAACCGCGCTATCGGGCCGCGAGCGAGTATCGGAGCGATAAACATCGCCGACGATACGCTCGCCATCGCGCTCGAATTCCGCGGCTTTCTTGCGATATCGCGGCTGTGGAGGACACCGAAAGAAGAGGGGCGGAAGAACGAGAGATTCCTTGAATCTTTCGGGCCCGCGATGGCAGGCCCTAAGAGGAGAGAGAGACCCCGTTGTCGCGAAACGCCGCTTCTCGCGAATTCGCTGGACCGTTCGGGAATCAGCGCAAGACCCGGAAAAAAGAGGATCGACTCAAAGCGCGAGTGACATAACACGCCTTTTTGGTGCCCGCGTCGTCAAGGAGAGAAAACACACCTCACCCCGGCTACCTGGCGATTAACGTGCGCGTGGATCGTCGCGTTTCTCAATGTCTTGTATCGCGGCGACGGCGGCGTTCTAAAAATACTCTGTACGCCGAAGGACTTTGGAGCAGTTTCTCGTTCTGGACAGTTAACTCTTTTGCTGTGTGGGTTTCTTCGTCGCGTATGCATTCTCCACGCTTGACCAAGTGAACATCGTGTTGCGCGTTGAACGGATCTCCAACGCGTGAAAACGCCGCGTCGGTTAGGTGACGGGGGAGTGTGGTCGGTTTAGCGGGGAGAACGACGACAGGGAGAAGGACACGCCTCGAGAAGGGCGTTATGCGGCGAAGTCGAGGTTGAAGTATATCAGTTGTTACGGCTTCGCCCCGTGCATAATCGTATCACGCGCTTCGCCGTGAAAAATTGCGGCCGCAATTGATTGACGTCGCGCCAACGAAACGCTCCTTCGCTCTGCCTGTTCCCTCCTCGTCCACCTGTTAAGTACAGTCGTGTCAGCGCGAGGTCGCGGTGAGATTGAGCGCGCACGTCGTGACCGGGAGGAATAACCGCGGGGGAAATCATGAGGGTGTACGTGGAGCGTGCGAGCGCGTTCGATCGATATCCGCGCGGCGAGAATCCAAGCGCGAAGATCGTCGTCGGCGGCGGCAGCCGTCACGTCGGCGCGATCCACGTACGCGGCAGTCCGCACGGCATGTTACCGGATCTGTGTTACATGTGCATAGATATGGCCAGGGATACGCCGGGCTCGCCGATGCCGCGGCCGCGGGATTTGGGCGCCGGCGGGGGTGGCGCGGCCGCGGCCACCTTGACTTCCGGCGCTTATCACGCCGCCACCACCGATTCCGCCAGTCTGCACGACCACGAGCTGCAGCAGAAGATGCTCAAGGTAACGTATGACATGTGTGCGTGCATGTATCATGTGTGTGTGCCTACGTGGCGGGAATGTCTCCCGCCGCGTAGAAACGAAAGCGCGGGTCGGAAAGGAAGGCAGGGGACGCAACGATGAGAGTACGTCGCGGTTCCTTTCTCCTTCTTCCGTCTCAATTCAGTCTCATTTTTCTGGCCTCAATATCGTGGGATTTATAAAATTGAAGAATTATTTATTCTGCACGGAAAAAAAGGTTTGGTTGAATTAACCAAATATCTGGTCGAACATGAACGATCCAGAACTTCCGATCGAAGTAACCCGAATTCTTTAAGTCAACCAAAAGTCTTGTTAACTTAAACAGAATTCGGGTTACTTCAATCGGAATTTCTGGATCGTTTATATTCGATCAGACATTTGGTTAATTCAACCAAACCTTTTTTCCGTGTAACATTCTGTTAAAAAAATTGAATTTCTCTTGTTGTTCTCCTCGGAAAATTTCTACACGCAGAGAGAGGGAGTTTTAATTCCACAGTAAAAATTGCTATGGAATTATGTAACCGGCGGATGGATCTACAATTTATAATAATGGACTGTCTCTTTATTTCATACACGTGCTGACCTGTGAGTGATGCTCGCGGAAAGACGGCAGGAACTTAACAGTTTCGCACAGAGTTGCAATATTCTCATACTCGTTACTGTCGGGATCAGTTTGTCCAGTCGTTTCGTTAGTGATTGATCGCCGTGGCGCGCGCCGCATAGCGTGCCCTCCCCCCCCCCCCCC